TTTAATTCCTCACACATTTAGTTGGGGTTAGATCCTCTTAGGAAATAAATAATATTTCTGGGGAGTTTCTTTAGTAAACTTTCTTTTACTGCTAGTATCATCCTGGCCATACTTTCCCAGGTAATTCATTATGATCAACTCTTCAAGGTATTGTCTCATTCTAAAAGCAATTGCCTCTCATAAGTGGAAAAAAAATCTCCTCCTGAAACACAGCTCATCTAGTGATATTATCAAAAAGCTTCCTAATCAACTTTTGGGCATTTTAAACTTCTATAACAAGAAACCAGCTTGATTTTACCCAGGTTAAGGAAAAAGACAAACTGTGGTGGATTTTTGTTTTGTTTTTTTCTTTTGGCTTCTCTTTCTTTTAAAACAAAGAAATGACAAATCCAAATTTGAGACATCTGGATGTTTCCCATCATGTGGCTTAAACATCTGCATTTTTTCACTTCTCATCCAGATGTTTTGGTCTTATGTAAACCTAGCTAAAGTGAAGCAGAATATCAAGCAATCATCTGGGGACTTTGATTAACATGGACAGCAAATCTGAATAATCCATGTTCTGAGAGTCCTGTTTTTTGTCTTGCTCAGAACACATTACTAATGAGGTCAAAGTTACTGTAGGTTTGTTCCTCGTATGGGCCAGTTAGCTCTGATCTGTTCCATGACCATGGAATGCACCTCTAGCCTCAGCCAGCTGTCTGGAAAATGAGTGTCCTTGGTCATACAGACAATCACACAAGAAACTAAATAGCCAATCTCTACCACTTAGAAAGTAAAATTAAAATGCATTTCCTGTGGAGAGTGGGTCAGAAGTGCCATTTTTGTATAAAATAATAATAGTAACTCTTAGAGAGTTCTTATTTTGCACCAAACACTGTTCTAAGCACTTCACATACATTAACACACAATGTTCACAACAATCCTATGTGTATTATTGTTATCCCTATTTTATAAATGAGGAAATGGAGGCATAGAAAGGCTAAGTAAATTGCCCCTGGTAAAAATGGATGGCATTTAATTTTTTCTAGGTATTTTTCAACATTCATTCTTTCAAGAAGGTTTCAATGTATTAACCGCCCAGAAAATATATCAAAAGAAGATAGAAACTTGGAAATTTCTGTATACTGAATTCATTGGTGGGACTGCTACTGTGGCAAGCCCCGTGCCCAGTAAAATAGATTAATCTAATCCCTATTCTTCCACCCAATATAATAATTACAGCATAAAAGTACCCTTAGCAAAGAAGAAAGTCAATGTTTTTGTTGGCAGTAAGTCAGCATATAAAGTACGTATTTAGGGAAAAGGACTATGTGGTTAGGGGCAATGAACTATGTTGGGTGGCCTCATAGAACTAAGTTGTCTGAATGTTCTGAGGAAGAGTGATTTGTGTGACTGGCAGAATGCTTAAGAAACTTTGATCTCCAACCACAAATTGACTTAGAGTTCTAAAATGCTAGACCTAGACAGGATGTAGAGAGATAATCTAATACACTTTTTTTTTTTCTTTTGTAAAAACTGCAAACAATAAAAAAAAAAATGCTTGCTGAAAGAAGCAACTGAAAAAATATCCCTCTTATATTTTTGAAAGACTGTAGGAATTGAAACTTCACAGATGCTCCCAAATCCACTTGTCCATTTAATCCACAAATGTTATGCGAACACCTACACTGTGACCAGCACGATTATGGATACTTGAACTATCATAAAGAATAAGATGGGACCACTGATCTTCAGAAACTCTCCATCTATTCTGGCATTTTCTACTTCAGAAAGTAAAGGCTCTCCTTCCTATAACTTTCCTGCTTATATTTGGGTTCAACTTCCGGTGTTACGGAAAACAATTGCTCAGCACACTAGTAATGGAGACTATGTTCATTAAAACCCATTTCCTTTTCCTTCTGGGCAAATAGCTAGACTCTATTTCCCACTCACCCACCAACTCTGTTTCCTCCTTACAAAGAAAATAAAAATGCATTTCCTGTGGACAGTGGGTCAGAAGTGTGAGTGATTTTTATGGGTTATCTTGTGCCAACCTCCATGCTTTCTCTCTTTACCCATCTACTGGCTGAATGGAGAGGACTCCTTGGGTCTAGAGGAGAGCAGAACAACAACAGGGAAAGAGCTTGTCTCTGAATGACTTCGGAGCAGAGCCCCTCTCCATATCCCATCCAATCCTCATTAGACTGTGATGTGAGCAAACAATACACTTTTATTGTGTTAAGATACAGAGATTTAGGGGTTTTTTTTTTTATTAACAACACTTACCCTAATACAATCTCCCTTATGAAATTTCCTTCATAATCTTAAATATGGTAACCAGCTAATCACTTGCACCTTCAATTTTGGTGAAAATTGGGTTCCTGGCTTACCAGGTTACTAATTCCTTTCCTTGTTCTTCACAAGATCAGTCTGCACTTCCTCTGACCATGCCAACATACTTCAACATATCCCTTGTTCTTTGGGAACCTTGCCCCAATTATCTATTTCAGAACTGAGGACAAATATGCTCAATCCCTGCCTCCTGGAGTTTGTTTCCTTCTGATTCTATCACTTCTGTGCCTTCATTTTATTAATAACATCAAAGTTCTTTCCAAATCTCAAAGAATTAGGGTTAGGGTTAGGGTTATGTTAGATTGGTGACCAAATCTCTCAAAGAATTGAGATTTGGAAATCCAAATGAGGTGAGAAATTTAAATAGAATCAGAACATGGCACCTAAATTACCAAACTCCATCAATTCCTTCTTTGAGAGTTTGAGATTACAATTAGTAGAGTCAATGTAATTATTGTTTCTAAACCAGATTGGCAGAAGCACTTTGCCTTTGCTGACCATTACTCTCCTCCAAACGCTGCATGGGGTGCACCAGTAGCAAATACACTTGTCATTGTATTGTCTCTATTTTTGTTCTGGATGCTCAGTTAAGAAGGTAAACACTCAAAAAGAATTCTGTTGATACAATTGACTTTCTTGATCTTTGAAGTATTTATTAACTCTGTGTTTTTCTTCATTTTCCCCTTTTTGAAGCAACACGTCCTCCTTATTTCTCTTCCTCCTCAGGTCTGCCTTTTTCTGAGAGTATCCATGTCACCACTCCTAGCTGGTCTCCCTGCTTCCTTTTCTCCCTCCTATCTAACTCTTCCTGCATCTGCTATTGGATGAATGTCCCAGCACCTCTTCTAGCCTTACTTCTTATTATGTCCTCACACAGATTTATGCTCTTGCCAACCAAATATGTTTGCTATCAGCTAAATAAGACTTATTCTTCCTTCAGTTTTCACATATGCTATTCTCTATACTTGGGAAATTCCCATTCCTCACCAGTGTTCCCTCTATTCCAAACTCATCCCTTGCCCAAATGAGCCCACTTCATTTATCAGCTCTGTGTGTACAATATTAATTTTCCTACACTGGAATGTGTTTTACAAATAACCCTTTCTTCATGCAGATGATGTGTAAACTATTTGAGAACAGGGACTTCAATTTTTAATGATATTTCTATTATACTTTATGCAGTGGCGAGTACACAGTGAGCACTCAATAAATACTCATGATTGACACTAGTAACATCTGGAGAAAATGTGGTTGAGCCAACAGCAGTGAGCATTTGGGAAGACAAACTTTGATGGGTGTAGGTGATTTTACAAGTTCCGATATCACAGTAATTAAATGGAGTGCTGAATAACTGCCTTCAATTTCCTCTGGCTGACTTCAGTTCTGAGCAAAGGCAAGTTTGATGTCAGAGTTCAAGGTGAATGATTATTGTTTATCAAACTGTCCCATACATTAATCAGAGAGCCTTAATGCTCAACACTGTGGCCTCCTATCAGACATCTTAGAACAAAAATGCATGAGTAATAGACAAATTGGAGCCAGATAATTTTCAACATTAAATTCTGTCCCAGAAAAGAGCAACAACAATTGCAAGTGTTCAAACTTAACTGGTCACTATGGAACTATTTTCTGTCTTGAGTCTGGTTTTATCAGTTCAGTATCTCACCTTGGGAAATGAATACATGAAGTGTAAAGATTTATTTGTGCAATTTTCAGAATATTTCCTTTGGTCGTTGCTTACTTTTCTAGAAAACACTTGGTAAAAATCAACCAATTTATTTAAAAGCCAAATTCCAAAAGACAGTAAATGCTTTAAATCAGTGGTTTCATATGCTTGTAAGCCCTTCAAACACAAGTGGGTCAAGGAGTCTCCTTCCTTTTCTTGCCAGATTTTCTTCTTTCTCACACTTAACATTTTCCAACCAGTTGCAGAAGTTGTCCTTCGGATACTACTCATTTCCATCTCCTCTTAAACTCCTCTATAAACTTCTCTTTCATAACTGAACCATGTTTCACCCTCTGATTGCACCGTTTCCTCCTTTTAAGCCCCAGAATGTTAACCATCAATCCTCAAACAAAATATTAACCTCTCGCATGATACTGCCTTAAGTCCAAACCTTACCAGAAGCCTGCAAGTCTCTTTGTACTCGTATTTTTGAATGAGTGAGTGAAATCAAACCAGAGTTGGATCTAATTCAATTAAAGCTTAGAGGTAGGGAGGACAAACATCTTCTTTTCAGGAACCACCCAACTATCTTTCAAAGTCTCCATAGTTGGATTGAGGCCTGTAGATTACCAAATGCACCAAATTTCATATTTTGCCAAATTAAACCCCTATACATGTTGTCCATCTGCCTAAGCATTGTTTGTTCTCCATGTAGTTTTAATTTCCTATTTACCTGTTGCTTTTGTGCATTTCTCATTTGTCTCAGCATTTCTGACGTGTTCAAAATGTTTCCCCTTAATATAACCTCAGTTTTTAAAAGTATGTATGCTTACATATAATAACATAATGATAAATTTGTTACAAGCATATGAGAACTAGTATTGTTCTTCTAGATTTCCAAAACCCATTTCAGTGGAAAATGGAGAAAAACTTTTTTCCCACTGTGAATGCAACTGGGAAAATAAATCATGTTCTAGACTAAATACTTATGGGCTGTATCTTTTAAAAATCTCAGATGAAAATTAAATTTTGAATTGCCATCTAGAAATAAATTTTTATAGATAGTGTACACATTGGTTCCTGAAAATGGTAGAAAAGGTTTCTTGTCAAGTTCCCTAGCACAAGTGTGAATGCTCTGTTTTTGAGTACCTACTAGTAGTGAAAGGACACATTGTGGCCAGCCAACTCAAATTGCTACCCACGTTTAATCATTGTAAATAAAGGAAGCAGAGAGACCCATGTTATATTTTCAGAACTGGCATGCTCAATACAGAACTATTAGTTTAAAAATACCACTGAACATTCTATTTGAATTAATCTAGATTTCTGTTAAAAATAAAATAATGAAAAGTACAATTGGTCACTTAAACATATACTACTCACTTCATGCAGATTATTAATTTAGTAATTACACATGGCATTAAAGAACAACCAGAGTAAATACAACTTTATAACACTTGGAAAACAGTTCAGAATTGATAAATTTCAATTTTGAAATACTTACAGTTTTTACAGAACAAAATCACCTTTCTCAGTGGAAAAAATACATCTATGAAACACCTACATGTGTTTAACAGGACTTTTCAGAGGAAAAACTAATTGTCTCACTGTGAAATGAACATGTATCACTGCTAAGCTTTCATGTACTGTTGGTGCATAATGCATTTTCTGAACAGCTGGATAAAGAAAAGCAACAGAGAAACAAGTACTTTGAACAAAACTTGTGGATCACAAAGAATCAATAATGAAAAGATGTTTAAGGACATAGCCAAAGCATATTATCTAATGTTCAATTATACATTTGGGCTTCACAATTACAGGAGCTGGGCAAATCTTAATTTTTACACACTGTGTACATTTGTCCTTGTTTATATTTGTCCAAGGACATGATTTAAGAACCATTTGCAAAATGCTAGAATCAACCTTGATTAACAATTGACACCCACAGGAACCTACGTGGAGAGCACATCTAATTTGATCAATTGGAAAGAACATAAAGTAGTAATGCACAATAAATATTAGGATAGGAGCACATTCCTTACAGCAAATAGGCAATATCTTAGATTATTCACAGGGATTTTCTGGTATGGTACAGTCACAGTCACTATGTGAGGGTAGAGAAGTTCAGTCTATCGAATACACTCTTTGAAGCACCGGGAATAGAGATACTTCTGTAGGAGTCTTGCACACACGGCCAAGCAGACACTGTGTATGTACAGAATAGTCTGTCTCACAACTACATTGCAGATGAGAATCTCTGCAATCGTCACTGTACCACTAGCAAACTGAAAGCATTTAGCACTTCATCTGTGAATACTGCTGTATTACTGCTTTTCAATTGCTGACACTTGCAGTCAATATGTATTTAAATTCGAACTCCAACGATGCTGATGAAAAGCAGGAAGACGTCTGCATCTTCTTATAACGCTCTTAGCAGGTCAAGAGATCATTTGGTAAAAAAATCCAAATGTGAATTTGTTAGCAAACAATAAAATGTACACTTTAAAATGTGTTTTCAAAGTTGTAAAATTTTTGAAATAAGTTAGAAAGCCACAAGGGTTGTTCAAAATCATCCTAAAAGAATTCACAGCCTGTCTATTCATTTGCTTAAGAAATGCACATTGTTTACCTACCTACCAGTTTGCCTACAGAAGATGTGCTTGCCTAATAAATCTAAAAGCTGTTATTATGAGCTGCTGATTTATGTCTACAGAAGTTGTTCATTACGTTGAGGAAGTTCTAAATGTTTCAATCACATTTTTTTCAACTGATCTTCCTTTCCAATCTTCCAACTGGAGTGCTTTAACATTTCTTGCTTGATAAATTCCCGAATTTTCAGAAGTCTATGGAAATTCTCTTTTCTCCTTAAACTTAGTGTAGAACTTTCAAATTCAATTAAAGTCTTTAAGTCTTCCTTATTTCAAATGCCATGTAAATACTGAAATATTCATAGATATGGGGAAGGTAGCTCACCTACTGAGCTCATAGTCCATGTGGTATCATAAAACCTACTCTAAAACAACAGGGTTTTTAAATTTTTGTTTTCAGGAAGAAATCAAAACTATACATTGGAACAAGGTGCCGTACTACAAAAGCAGGTCCTTCTTTCCCCCCACTACTCAGGAAATGTAAACAAAATATTTAAGTACAAAAGCGATTTCTGTGCCTTTTTCTTCAAACACTTTTCCAGCACCTCACTGTTATTAGGTGTACTTTATGCTTGGTATAGCAGAAATTCTGTATGCTCGTATAGCTGTTCAGGGAATTCAGATTTTTCACTACCAAATATCGCTGGTGAAGCTGAGCTCTTTGGATGATAAAGGTAGCAGAGAACTGTTCCTATGAAATTCTGGGGTATCTTTCAAGGCATTATTAAGGGGCAGCTGTCCATTGAGTAGCGTCAGAGGCAGGTTACAGTAAGTGTGGTGGTTGCCTAAGGAAGGTACTGGCAAGGTGGTAGTTGGCATGTCGTGTTTATACCCTCTGCAACAATGCCTCATTTCCATTGAATCTGAGTGATGGAAATCAGGGAGATCAGCTTGAGATGACGCCAGAGTGGCCGAGGTACTGGTCATGGCAATAGAGGGTATAGGCTGGAGTTCTCCAAAAAGTCCTTGTTCTGCAGAGTCCAGAACATGGCACCGAGATAGCATTTCTTTCTTCTTGATGGGCATCTCATATACTAAGTGCTTCCAAAATTTAGAATTTAATTTGCTGCTTTTGGGTCCCTTCCACTTGATCAGGGACAGAAGTTTGATGCTGCGCTTTAATGATTCCACTTCCTGGCAATTCACCTTCCCTTTTAATTCTGTACACTCAATCAAAATCACTTTGATTTCTCCACTGACTAGCATGTTATGGAGTCTGCTTTCCAGTTCGAAAATACTCCATCCCCGTCTGAGAATATAGTCGGGAGTTAGCACGATAATAAGTCTTCTGCTTTGCTCAACACATCTTGTGAGATCTTCAATGTATGCTACAAATCACAGAAAGAGAGAAAGAGTAAAACAAAGACATTGCCAGTCTTTAAAAGAACCAGGTTTGCACTCTAGTATAGCAAAGATCCAGTCTTTCACTAAAGTCCATTACATTTGCTTTTCTTGTATTGCACATTCAAAAAGCCTGTTTCCTTAAAGAAGAAAAAAATTTAAAAAACACTGCTTATGATCCTTATTTTCTTTGCCCTCATCATTACTTACAGCGTTCTGTTGGTTAACACAAGCTCTGGTTTCTTCATAGCTTAGGTGGCATTTTAGTGACTTTTGTTTATTTAATCATTTAATTGAAGGCAGGCTTTCAGGCTAGTACTCTAAGTGAACAAGTAATCAATGGGTCAATGAAAAGAGAAATGGAGCCTTTTAATAAATTTCAGGGTTATTGCATTCATGGGTTTGGTTTGGTTTTCCTCTCTTTCTTTTTTATGAATATTATTTATTTTTCAGTGACAAATACTAATTGTATATATGACCCCTAGTCTTCAACTACTAGACAAGTGGAGGGGCCCTGAATATTAACTACTTAAGGGATAATTGTGATATATAGATGGTGGAAAATTCTCTTCTAGAATCATAGCTTGTTTCTCAAAATACCTTCTGTCATTTGCAAACTTAGATTCTCCATTGTGCCCTTCAAAGCCGGAGATAGGGAAGTGGCATGTGCCCACAAGTTCAATTTGAACCAGCTGCTTTTTGTTCCCAGGAAGAGTGAAGGGTAGAATTGGAGGTGGAGGATGGTGTGAAATGAACGGTGAAGGAGGAGGAATCTACGAAGTGAAAAGTAAATCTTTGCCCTACTTTGTGAGGCAATTCTGAAAGTGAGGCGAATATGTTATGGCTTTTGCATGGCAGCAAAACACTCAACTAGCTCTAGATTTGTTTATCCCATGGAATAATCCCTTTGCAATCATGCTTCCCAAAGTCTTATCTGCCAAAAAGGGAAACGCACACATGTGTTAACAAATGGAGACTTGGACACAGGTGCTGCACCAGAGAGCTGTCTTTACTAAGCAGAGCACAAGGCCTTATCTAATGTACAGTGCCCTCTAGCAGAGGCCGTGCTTACAGAAGCATAGCAACATTTGTCACTGCAAATCTGCCCAAGGTTACAGACTGCTTTCAACGAGTCACATCGAGCACATAGCGTGGGGCTACCAAACAGCCCGGTACAAGCCATTTGAAAAGAGAAACTTATTTTTACAGAAGGCATATTCTACAGATGATCTCTCTTTTCCAGGGTTTATTTTTACCACTTGGCAGCAAGAAAACTTCCACAAGTGAAAAATGAGTAAACTTTCTACACACCCTACAGGTAAATAAAAACCTTTTTAAGAGATACACATAGAATCGCCCATTTAACAATTTGTTGTTACTGCTGTTTAGGTTTTGACTTAATACATTTCAGGACTTTCTCATGCAGTAGTTACAATGACTGTATCTAAGGGATAAGGCAATTTCTAAGTTGGGAGGGAATCTCTTAAGAATTGTTTATTCTTAAGAGTGTTTTATTTTAGAGATTATGTATTCAAGGGGGGAAATCAGCAGTGAAATCTTCAAAAACAAAACAAAACAAAAAACCACCACACAAGTAGCAATGGGGAACTTGTCACTCTGTAATTATCACTTAGAAAACTGGTGAAACAGAATGGAAGGAAAGGTAGAAAGTTTCAATAGAGTGGAAAAATATTATCCCAATGTATCAACAGCTCTGACTCTTCATTTTCTTCCTTTCTTTCTGCTCCCAAAAAGAAAGAAGTTATGTGGGAAGCTTCATCATTAGAAGTTGGATCTGTAAGATACAGTAAAATAAACTATCATGCATTTTTCCCAGGATTCTTTTCACCTTTCCTCCCAAACAAAACAAAATGAACAAAGCCCAAACCCAGAACCATGGTATAAGTGCAGGAGTCTATGAAAATCAGTGCAGGAGTCTATTAAAATAACAGTTTTACCAGGTGAATTATGAGTTAATTGTTAATTTTTTTCAAGCTAATTTATTTAATCTAATTTTTCAAACAAATTGCAACAATTTGGATGGAACTGGAGACCATTATCCTAAGTGAAGTGTCTAAAGAATGGAAAAACAAACACCACATGTACTGGCTATTAAATTGGAACTAACTGATAAGCACACATGTGCAGAGAGGGAAGTAAATTTCAAAGGAAATCAAGCAGAGGGGGAGGAGGGGATGGGCTCTGACTTGAGCATTACAAAAGCCATCTATGTAACCAAAAACATTTGTACCCCCATAATACTTGGATAAATAAGTAAATAAATAAATAAATTGTTAATTTTATAGAAGGATTCTTTACAGAATAATTTACCAAGGGGTTAATTTGAGTAAAATCTGTCCCTCTCTAATGGCAGCTTGTAATATAATTTTAAAAACTGATCTGTACAAACCCTTGTCAGGAGCACTCTATCACATGAGATGTACCTCTAGAAACAACACTATTTCTGTGTGCTAAGATGTAGTCTAAATGTGCTTTTAAACTCGACTTTTAAAAACTCAAGTTTGATCTATACATGTCTCCACTTAAAAGAAAATTACAATCCAGGTGTACACAGTCAGAGGACAAACTATACACATGTGTGCTATTTCATGTGATTGAGTTCTCATGGGCTTTGGCTTTGCTAGCCTCTTTCTGGGATGGGGGAGGGACCAGGCTAATATTTTTTCCCCATTAGTGTGGTTCTCCTCCTTCACTCATATATTCTATTTTGCCATTTGACAGCTAAGCAGAATGCAACATTCAGGATTCTTGGGGCTTCTTAGAGACTCATTAGACAGAATTCACATTTGCCCCCAGAAGGAAGGCCTGTCAGGACAGATCCCACTGCACTCAGCTGCACAGGGTGTGGGTGTTGAAGGGAACCTTGGAGAGAGGGAGTGGTCCCTGTCTCCTACATACTACACTGGCTGTGCTTATCCTGGCAAAGCCTAGTGGAGAGTTGAGGCAACCATCCAGATAATTCCGGCTGAAAACCTGCTGTGGAAGAAAAAAGGTCTGAATTATCCTGGTTTGCCCTATGTATACATTAATCATATGCACTGGAGTCAGTCAGTCAGTACATCAAAATTTTCCCTGGGTAGACACAGCCCAAGTGTCCCAAAGAAAACATGAGCCATTTGCTTGGGCCCTGAATCTCGTGTTCCATTTCACTTGGTGAAAAACCAAGTGGAAGTTTTCAGATGTGAAGCCCACATTTCACTTCTTGGGATGGTGATCAGTGGCTGGGCAGCAACCTCAATGTTTGAAAGCAGCTGGGGAGGTGCCTCTAAGAGCTGCCTGGCTCTAAGGAAAAGAAGGAGAGACTGTGCCCTAGCTTCCCTATTCTGGCTCGCTCTCTGTTTTTCTCTCTTCTTCTCCCTCCTTTCCCCTCTCTACCTTTTCTTTATCCCTTTCTTTTTTTGCTTTTCTGCCCTTTCTTCCTCTTTTCCTTCTTACCTGCTTCTTTGCTTGCTTTCTCTTTCTTCATGTCTGTCCCTCTCTTCCTCTCTTTCCTTCTGTCTCTTATCTCCCTCTGCCTCCTTCCTCCCTCCTCTCTTGAGTCTTTTCTCTCTTTCTCTTTGTCTTTGGGGAAGAAACAAGAACCTAGCCATCATGGAAAATATAAGTAAATGAGGAAGAGACCAAATTGACAGAGTCCATATTTTTTTTTAACTTGCTAATCTTTAGCCAAGGAATTGTTGCTGGCATCTACGAAGCAAGTGCCCAAAATAACCCCCCTCTCAGCCTAGGGTTGCATGTCTACCTCCAATGACTTTGAATTTGAGCCTGATACATTAGGCACATTTCCAGTTTTGTATGGCCTGTGTGAGCTAAGAATGATTTTTTACATTTTTAAAGAGTTGTAAAAGAAGAAATGATGATGATGCAACTGAGACCATATATGATCCACAAAGCCTAAAATATTAACTATCTGAAGTTTTACAGAGAAGGTTTGCCACCCCTGAATTATAGGCCAAGCAGGGTGGTTAGGTTTGGAAAAGTTCCAAATAAACTAAGCAGAAACAGGTATCAAGTTAAGACATTGCTAGTTCATAGTTAGTGTAGTCTCTGACAGGCAGTGGGGTTTGCCCTGGTAGGGCTGTGGTTTTGTGGGAGACATTTTAGAAACCTTCAGAAAATGTTTTAAAAAGCTTGTTACCACGAAGAGATAATAAAGAAACGTTTTTTTAAAAAAAATCCCTAAATCCACAGCACATATGAATACTCACTAAATCTTGCCCCGACTTGTTCAGGCAAATTTAGCAACTGAGTAGCAGGAATCCTTTAAAAGACTCTTTCTTTGCACGTAAAAATATAAGATATCCCTTAAATAAAAGGTCACTAAGTCATTTCTTTGCAAATTTTGGTTTGATGTTACTTCTGATGACAGAAAAGACCAAAGTGGATTGTCTCCTGTTTCTCTAGACAATTCTGTGAAACCACAGCAGATTATCAGACATGAAACGAAGCCAAGTACATTTAAAATATTTGTGATCTTCACAATCAGATAAGGAAAAAAATCTCCATGGACATAGTTTTGATTAGGGTGCTTAATTTGGTATAAATTCATTTTTCACATTAAAGTGCAAATGCAAGGACACTTTTTCTTTTGTCTATGCTTGGAGTTGACAGAGAGTTAGGATAATATTCTGGGATAAAATACATTGTCACTAGACTCTCTTTGGGAGGTGTGTACCTATTAGAGAAATACAAAAAGATCATGCCAGTAGCATCGGTATTGTAGGAAACAAGGAAAGTGATTGCCTAAAACCTTGTGAAAAACAAAACAAATTCAATTTTAAAATCTTTTCCAGGGACAGTTGCATAAAACAAAATTCTGGTACATTCAGAGGAGAAATAGGATTGGATCTAGAAAATTGACTTGAAAATAAATTATGCCATTTATTAACAAAGCAAAAAGGCAAACTGAAAAAGGAAATAAAGAGACAAAATAGAAGCAGAAAGAACGGCAGCCTCAAGAAATTTC